AGTCTTTATTTTAAAGTCTATTTTGTCTGATATGAGAATTGCTACTCCAGCTTTCTTTTGATTTCCATTTGCATGGAATATTTTTTTCCATCCCCTCACTTTCAGTCTGTATGTGCCCCTAGGTCTGAAGTGGGTCTCTTGTAGACAGCATATATATGGGTCTTGTTTTTGTATACATTCAGCCAGTCTATGTCTTTTGGTGGGAGCATTTAATCCATTTACTTGTAAGGTAATTATTGAAATGTATGTTCTTATTACCATTTTCTTAATTGTTTTGCGTTTGTTTTTGTAGGTCTTTTCCTTCTCTTGTGTTTCCTGCCTAGAGAAGTTTCTTTAGCGTTTGTTGTAAAGCTGGGTTGGTGGTGCTGAATTCTGTTAACTTTTGCTTATCTGTAAAGGTTTTAATTTCTCCATTGAATCTGAATGAGATCCTTGCTGGGTAGAGAAATCTTGGTTGTAGGTTTTTCTCTTCCATCACTTCAAGTATGTCCTTCCAATCCCTTCTGGCTTGCAGAGTTTCTGCTGAAAGATCAGGTGTTAACCTTATGGGGATTCCCTTATATATTATTTGTTGCTTTTCCCTGGTTGCTTTTAATATTTTTTCTGTGTATTTAATTTTTGATAGTTTGATTAATATGTGTCTTGGCGTGTTTCTCTTTGGGTTTATCCTGTATGGGACTCTCTGTGCTTCCTGGACTTGATCGACTATTTCCTTTCCCATGTTAGGGAAGTTTTCAACTATAATCTCTTCAAACATTTTCTCAGGCCCTTTTTTTTTCTCTCCTTCTTCTGTGACCCCTATAATTCGAATGTTGGTGCATTTAATGTTGTCCCAGAGGTCTCTGAGACTGTCCTCAGTTCTTTTCATTCTTTTTTCTTTATTCTGCTCCCTGGCAGTTATTCCACCATTTTATCTTCCAGCTCACTTATCCGTTCTTCTGCCTCAGTTATTCTGTTATGGCTTCCTTCTAGAGTATTTTTAATTTCAGTAATTGTGTTGTTCATCACTGTTTGTTTGCTCTTTAGTTCTTCTAGATGCTTGTTAAATGTTTCTTGTATTTTCTCCATTGTGTTTCCGAGATTTTGGATCATCTATACTCTCATTACCCTGAATTGTTTTTCAGGTAGGTTGCCTATTTCGTCTTCATTTATTTGGTCATGTAGGTTTTTACCTTGCTCCTTTGTATGTAACATATTTTTTTGTCATTTCTTTTTTTTGATGGGTGGTGCTGTATTCCTGTTTTACTGGTTGTTTGGCCTGAGACATCCAGCACTGGGGTTTGCAGGCAGTTGTATAGAGCTGGGTCTTGGTGCTGAGATGAAGACCTCTGGGAGGCCTCACTCTGACTGATATTCCCTGGGGTCTGAGGTTCTCTGTTAGTCCAGCGGTTTGGACTCAGAGCTCCTTCCACAGGAGCTTGGGCCTGACCTCCTGCCTTGGAACCAAGATCCCGCAAGCTTCGTGGCGCAGTAAAAAAAATAAATAAAAGAAAGAAAGAAAAACATCTACGAAGGGGGAATGTGCTAAAGACCAAAGGGAAAACTTTAAATTCCATGTAATAGACATATTTTAACTGAGAAGTATATTCAAAAGAGGCCTAATATCATGCTTTTGTGTGTGTGTGTGTTGTGTGTAAGTATTTTGTGAATGAGAGAAAACCTTTATTGAAGAAATTCAGTTATTTTGTACAATCAGGTTCAACAGCCAAACACTGGTAGAGTGGACCATAGGTTGGCAGAGATAAAGGCTATTTGTATAGAACTCTTGTATTGAAAAGTGTTTGCTTGAAATAATTTCTATCTTGCTTTTGAAGTCATGTTAAAGCCATGAATCTATAAAATATATGTTAAACCTAGAACATTCTCTAGATATTTCACTCTTTTGTTTGAATGTGTGGAAAGGAGCAGACATGAAATTGAAATGCAAATTTATTTTCATCTGTTTAGCCTGATAATTCATTTTGTATCAGTCACTAATAAACTTGAATTTTAAGGGGTTTCGGGAACTAAACTCAACAGATCTGGGCAATGTTTATTTAACGGCTTTATCTTTGATGTCACAGTAAGCACTAGGGATTTTGAAAAAGGGATGTTCTCTTCTCCTAAGGAAGTAACAGTTGGAGAGAAAGACATAATTACACTGAGGACCAGCCCAGTGACAGTTCCCTCCTTACAAGCAATAATCATGTATGTAATTACAATAATGTGTTTTAGTGCTATGTTGTAAGAAGAGAGATTTTCACAGGGGAGTGGTGGATCCAGTGTGAGACCATGAATGGCTTACCAGCAGAGCTAAAACTTGGGCTGCTTCTGATGAATGAGTGGGTGATGCAGATGCTGTTTGGCCCACGCCCACACCATGAGAACCTGTGTTCTACTATTTAACTGAGACACAAGGGGAGGGAGGGAATATGTGCAGGAGAATTTAGGGACCAGGTCCGGGGATGTCACACTTCGATTCTGCCTACGTTTTATTGACTACACCTCAGTCACATGGCTCATTTAATTGTAGAGGAGGCTAGAAAAGGTAGTCGAACTATGAACCAGGAGGAAGAGGGAAATGATTGGTTCACAACCCTCTACTCTCTGCCATAGGAAGGTGTGGTGGTCTTATCCTTTGAGCAGTAGGCAGGAACCAGAAAAGACAACTCCTGAGAAGTTAATTTGGGTGAGCAGGTCCTTAAGAACAACAGGTGCATTGTTTTCTGGAATGAGAAGTGAGGTTATGTTAAAAAATTCCTTAAATATGAAACAGAAACAGACTCACAGCCATAGAGAATAGACTTGTGGTTGCCAAGGGAGAGGGGGTGGGAGAAGGAAGGACTGAGAGTGTGGGATTAGCAGAGGCAAACTATTATATATAGAGTGGATAACCAACAAGGACCTACTGTATAGCACAGGGAACTATATTCATTATCTTCTAATAACCTATAATGGAAAAGAATATATATATATGTATAACTGAATTACTTTACTGTACACCAGAAACTAACACAGCATTGTAAATCAACTATACTTCAACAAAATAATTTTTTTTAAATTCCTTAAAAATCTTTGCATGTGTCAGTGATTATGATACTTAAGATGTAAGCAGAAATGTTTATTTGATATCTTTAATTTGGGTTGAATTACTACCAAACCTCAGAAAGTAACACTTAATACTTTGGCACACATGAAATATTTACTGTTTTAAAGGTGAATTTTTACTCATGTATTACTCTATTGTTACTTTCAAACAAAAATCAATGTTTCTCCTGAAGTTGTATGGAAACTGCTTTTATGGAAGGGGAAATTAAGAATAAGTTTTAACTTGTCCCATGAGCTCTGTAAGCTTGCCAAGCTAATGGACAACAGTACTAATAATGAAAATTTCCAGTGTTTATTGAGCATGTACCAGACACTGGGCTTTTCGTGGTGGGATTGGGGAATTGAGAATGGTTCAGCCCTTTAGGTCTATTGATTCATTTAATCCTCACAAAAACCTTATGAATGAAGCAGGTATTTTTATTATCATCCTCACTTCACAGATTAGAAAACTGAGGCACAGAGGGGTAAAATTGTTGGTCCACGCAGTCAGACAGTAGCAGAGCTGGAATTCACATCCAGATAGTCTGACTTCAGAGGCCAAGGTCGTCTGTATGGTTGTCTACCTCTTAGACAGGAGAGCCAAACTGGAGGAATGGGGACAAAGGGTGTGGAGCTCATCTGGACGTTTGCACTAAAGTAGGCTTGGGGCAGGGTTTGGGGCATCAGCAATGCCTTTGGCCATGACCCCCAGTTTGTAAAATGATGGCAGAATGTATGCATCATGCCTCTTGTTTCCCCTGCCTCTTTATGAAAGCCTAGACTTTGGAAAACCATTTGCTATTCCACTTCCTGCCCCTCTCCTGGCCCAGGCAGCAAGGGAAGCAGCTCCTGAACTGTCTCGAGCACCGCAGTGCAGGTCGCTGGAGGAGAGGAGGTAATTCTCGTTGTGTTTATGGGTCTGAGCAATTTCTTTTCCTTCTGCAGACAGGACTGTCCTTGTGGATACAGATCTTCCGTCCCTCAGAGGCCTCTATGTGATGGGGACTCTAGAATTCCCTGTGGACAGAAGCAACGTTCTGAGCCTGGCGTGCATGCTCATTGCAGGCGGGGAACTGAAAGTCGGTGAGTCAAAGGCAAGGGCACCAGAATTGGGAGGAGAGAGAGACCTTGGGAGAGTATGGTGTCCTCCAGCAGGGTTGCTTGAGGGAGTGTGGGGAGGGCTGAGGCAAGGAGGAAGTTTGCTAGTAAAGCTTCTCCCTGGCAAGCTTTGGACACAGACAGAGGTGATGTTTGTTGGTCAACCCCTCCTGTCCACCCGCTGTCTGCTGCCATCTGGTCCCAGGGTCCTCATACTCATTGCAGGGCTCTTTTTGCCTCCTTCAGGCCACACATCAATTCTCCCTTTAGTTCTTTGTGTGAGAATTTACCCGTGGCTCACTCTTTCAGAAGATCTTATAGGGTGGATTTGTCATCCTTTCATCAAGCAACTCACAGGAAAATTTCAGTTGCTATCTTAGTGCACATCCTTCAGCGAACAGACCTGAAAGCTAAGCTGTGCGCTCGTGCTGTACTGGGGCAGAAATCGCTGTGAAGTGAGAGTGAGTCTCTCAAGGAAGCAGGGCTGTTTGCGCAGTGTGGGAGATGCCTTGAGAGGAGCCTTATAGAGCCATCACATCCTAGGACAGTAAAGGGAGAAAGCTTGGGAGAAGGCAAGCAATTCACCTGGCCCCCTCCCCCCCAAACCCATGAACTGCTCTGTCTGTTATGTTTTGTGGCTTCCTGGTCAGGGGCCAGAGATGCAATGGTGCTAGGAGATGAGGGTCCTCCTGCTGGGAAGTGAGGGATGTTGCAGGATGGAGTGGATCTGGGGTGGTCTTTAACCAGGCCTGGTACACTGGCTTACTTAAATAAAAACCCGAGTTGCTCTAGGTAGGTTCTGTACTTGAAACTGTTGTACACAATGATGGGAAGACATGTCCCTTGCCCTCAAAGGAACTACTTTTGAACTCAGAAAGGCATTCTACTTTGACCCCACAGAGGAGATTAAAAGAGAATTTTCAGAAACAAAAATACCTTATCCCAAAGAAACAATCTCTGATGGTGAGGAAATGTTTAGATATTGTTGTTCAGTAGCATGCAAATTTTAGACTCTCTGGAAGGAGAGACTTCTAGGCCTAACTACCTGTCCAAAGTTTAAATCACTGCAAGAAGCTTCCTGAAAAATTTTGGTCAAACCTCTTCTTGAATGCTTCCAGTGACAGAAAAATCAAAACATTTTGAGACAACATGTTCCCACTTTTAAAAAGTCTGTTAGAATTCTTTCCCTTCTTATAGACAAAGTCTATCTATCTTCCTCTAATTTCTGTTGGTTCAGGTTCTTCTGTTTGATCTATTTAGGACGAGTGTCAAACTCTTCTTTTGATAGCCCTTCATCTACATTTTATTGAATCTTCTCTTTTTCAGGTTATGCAGTTCCTACTATTTTAGCCATATATAAATCGCAGTTATTTTAATCACAGTTATCATTATGATTATATAATTATAGTTATATCATTTTAATCACAGTTATTGATGTTTTAAAATAATTTTTATTTTTGCTTCTATTGTGCCACCTGGAAAATACAGAAAAGCAAGTAGAAAGTTATACCAAAGAAATAAAGTAATCACTTATACTCCCAAATGTAAAGATAGATGCAGTTAATGTTTTGTAGCCCTAAAATCATTTTTTTTCCTTACACGTGCATGTGTACATGCACACACGTGCTCTAAAACATAGAGTATACAGCCTGATAATCTTCTGAATCCTATACTAACAATATGAGAATTTCCTCAATTCATTCTATTTCCAAGACACAATTTTGATAGCTTTAATATTCCACATCCATGTGAGTCTATACATATACATACCTGCATAATAATTTAGTTAACTATTTTTCTATTGTTGAACTTCAAGGTTATTTCAGGTTTTGATTTTTTTGTTTTTTTTGTCCTTGTAACTTACTCTGCAATGAACATCTTAGTACTTAAGTCGTTATTTACAACTCTGATTATTTTCTCAGGATAGACTTTTATAAGTGGAATTAATGGGCCTAAGGGTAAGTGCATGCTTTAAGGTCCTGGATGCATATTGTCAAATTGCTTTTTGGAAAGATTTTACAAATTTGCACTGCCTCCACATTTCTGAGTTATGAGATCCCCTCATGCTTCCTGAAATTGTCACTAAACACACTTGTTTTGTTTAATTCCTCTGAAAGTATGAAGCCAGGGGGAAAGAACTATTCTCCAGATTAAGAGTATAAGCATAAGTCATGACTTATTCTGAACAGAGTGAAATGAATATAGCAGAATTGGGCTATATTCATGGGCTCTAAGTCAGACAGCCTGGGGTCACATCTGACCTGGTTACCTACTTGATGTTTGGCCTTAAATAAATCAGCCTCTGGATGCCTCCATCACTTCATCTGTAACATATGATAGAACCTACCTCAGAGGGATGCTGAAACCATAAGTATAACAGCTCCTACTAAGTGCTTGGCATATAGTAGGTGTTTAATAAATGCTAGTTTATCTGTAAGGGTGCCTGCGGGAAGTACATGTCATACTAACTTGGGCAATTGGAGGAGATTTTAATGAAGGAACCATTTACAAAAATCCAAAAGGCCTGGGGCAAACCCCAGGGCTAGAAACAGGAGAGTATCCTTATCATCCCTTCCCCTAAAGGAGTAAGAGGAGATTGTTAACTGGAATCAGAGATGGAGGTGAATGCCTGAAGATGGTTGTCAGACAGCACCATGAACTTTTGTGTGACTGGGACACACTCGGTACCCAGAAGGACCTCTGGGAGTAAATACCCACATCTTACTCTCTGTCCTCCCTCATCTCCTGCTCATGCTACCATTTAGCCAAACCCAACCAGAACTCCGAATAAAGGAAGATTCACTGATGTCCTGTGTCCAGGACAGCTGGGGCAGTGAGCAAAGGAGGGCAGAGTTTGGAAATGAGGTATCAGTGGGCGCTCTCCACCACAGATACAGTTTTTCTTTTAAAACAGCCAAAGATTCAACTTCATCCAGCTGATTATGCCAACTACTTCATCAACTCTAATTCCTTCTCTTTTTGCATATGTTGCCTCAAATACATATCTCTACATTGTACACTTGTATAAGAATTATTTTGTTTTCACTTGGGTTTTAGGGAGACCTAAGTGCAATATTCTTTACTTATGTCTTTTTTTAATTATTTCAATCCATCTTTCCACAGTGAGGAAATCCTTTTGGCTTCTGATTTTTTCCTCCCAGATTAATATCACTTGCTCATTTGTTTAATATTCTATAAAATTCTCATCCAGTTAACTGATAGAAATATTCAATAAAATTGAGCCTTGTTCTTGTTACTACAAAACTTATTTCAGGTTGGCATCTTCTACTGCTAAGAGTGATCTTTTTTTGTAAGTTTTTTAGGTTTCTGAGGTCACTTATTACTATAATTCAAACTTGTTACTTGTGAAAATCTGTACTTTTGAAGGGAAGTGACACAATGCCACTTTCCAGTTTTGATTTATACATTTCAAACCTTATTTTTAATTGTGTCCATTACCAACTATATTTTTATCTATTACTAGACATGGTATGTTCTTTTTCTCTCTGCTTGTCCATGTGTTCCAGGCTTAAAGGTTGATTATCTGAAAGGAACCCATCTGCCCAATCCTATCTGTATGATGCCTGAAGGAAGACTTTCAACCCATCTGTCCCATTCTACCACACCCTACAGAAATCCCAACATGAAATAGATAATAAGACTAGTTAGCAAATACATCTAATAGATGTGGACATTGGCACAGAGCACTGCCAGAGTCTGTCTGCTATCTGATGCCATTTGATCCAAGTCCCAACATTGTGGAATTATATTTCTTGGTGGTCCTGCTTTTAAGGCAACTGGTGCTGGCAAAAGGTATCAATTGACTTTTAGTAGAGTGGAATCATAATGCTAGCATTAGACAGGAAGTTTAAGATAAAAGCTTTGCTTAGAGGGCTGCAGCTGCATCACAAATGCCAAATTCAGTTTCATTCTTTGTTCAGTGGAAGCCCTAAAAGATGAAGCCAGTCAAAAAGATAAGGGAAGTTGCAAAGATGATTCTTCAGCAAGTTATGAACTAATATGCAGCTTACGGTCCTTGATCATTTCAGTCAAACAGCTTCAGGCTAGTTTTCTCTTAAATCCAGAGAAATATACTGGTGAACTTGCTACTCAGCCAAGGCGACTACTTAACACGCTCAGGGAACTCAACCCTATGTATGAAGGATATCTACAGCATGATGCACAGGAAGTATTACAGTGTATTTTGGGAAACATTCAAGAAACATGCCAACTCCTAAACAAAGAAGTAAAAAATGTGGCAGAGTTATCTACTAAGGTAGAAGAAAAACATCAGAAAGAGGAAATGAGTGGTAATAACAGCATGGAGATGGACAGTATGAGGCATTCGGAAGACTATAAAGAAAAATTGCCAAAAGTAAATGGGAAAAGAAAAAAGTGACACTGAATTTAGTAACATGAAGGAAAAAGTTAAAGTCTCTAAGGAACACTAGTCTTTGGAAGAAAACCAGAGACAAACCAGATCAAAAAGAAAAGCTACAGTTGATTCATTAGATATTCCTGCTAAAATAATCCCCAAGTACATTTCTGAAAATGAGAGTGCAAGACCCTCACAAAAGTAATCAAGAGTTTATAAACTGGTTAAAGTCTGCAGCTAAGCAACCCAGCATTATTTCTAAATTCTGTAGTCTGGGTAAAATAACAACAAACCAAGAATCCAAAGGACAATCTAAAGAAAATGAATATGATCTTGAAGAGGACTTGGAGAAGTATGAGAATGATAATACAGCTAATGGTTGTGTACTTGTATCTCCAGGGAATAATGTTATGCCTGTTAATGAAGTTAAGCCCATAAACAAAGGTGCAGAGCAAATTGGTTTTGAGCTAGTGGAGAAATTATTTCAAGGTCAGCTGGTATTAAGGACTCATTGCTTAGAATGTGAAAGTTTAACAGAAAGAAGAGAAGATTTTCAAGACATCAGTGTACCAGTGCAAGAAGATGAGCTTTCCAAAGTAGAGGAGAGTTCTGAAATTTCTCCAGAGCCAAAAACAGAAATGAAGACCCTGAGATGGGCAATTTCAGAGTTTGCTTCAGTGGAGAGGATTGTAGGAAAAGATAAATATTTCTATGAAAATTGCCATCATTATACTGAAGCTGAACGAAGTCTTTTGTTTGACAAAATGCCTGAAGTTATAGCTATTCATTTGAAGTGCTTTGCTGCTAGTGGCTTGGAGAAAATAAAGAAGATTAAGGGGGGAAGTGCCATATATCCTTCACAGAAGCACCTGAATATTAGTACTTATTTCAGTATCCTTTGTGTTTGATTGTTATGGTGGTGGACTTTCCAAAATCAACACTCCTTTACTGACACCTCTTAAACTGTCACTAGAAGAATGGAGCACAAAACCAACCAATGACAGCTATGGATTATTTGCAGTTGTGATGCATAGTGGCATTACAATTAGTAGTGGGCATTATACTGCTTCTGTTAAAGTCACTGACCTTAACAGTTTGGAACTAGATAAGGAAAATTTTGTGAACGACCAATGTGTGAAATAGGTAAGCCAGAACCATTGAATGAGGAGGAAGCCAGGGGTGTGGTTGAAAATTATGACAATGAAGAAGTGTCGATTAGAGTCAGTGGAAATACCCAGCCAAGCAAAGTTTTGAACAAAAAATATGTAGACGCTATCGGAGTTCTTGGAGGACAAAAGAGTAAAGCAGATTATGAGTTACACAACAAAGCATCTAATCCTGATAAAGTTGCCAGTACAGCATTTGCTGAAAATAGAAATTCTGAGACTAATAGTACTAATGAGACCCATGAATCTGATAGAAACAAGGAATCCAGTGACCAAACAGGCATTAACATGAGTGGTTTTGAAAACAAAATTTCATATGTAGTGCAAAGCTTAAAGGAGTATGAGGGGAAGTGGTTGCTTTTTGATGATTCTGAAGTGGAAGTTACTGAGGAGAAGGACTTTTTGAATTCCCTTTCCCCTTCTACATCTCCTACATCTACTCCTTACTTGCTATTTTATAAGAAATTATAGAGTGAGTGTATTTTCCTTGTGTATATATTAAACAGACCTGGACAAACATCGGTAAATTGATTACATCAAAAAAGTCTTTAGCTTATCTTTTGAAGCTATTGGGTATTACTGGTCTCTCTAGGTTTTTATATAAATAGTGAAATTTGAATTATTGAAAACCATGTTAATTTTTAGAATTCATTTTCCTTAGTGGAGACTAGTGATTGATGCATTAGCTTCTGGGAACAAACTTGTATAGGTTCTTAACTGAATTATTCAAAATGGAAGCATTTAAATACTTTGAATTTACCTATCTTTTGTGTTTGCTTTTTCAAATAAAGTGCTTGTATTTGTATCTCCATATTTTGGAGTAATTATCTACATGATGTTTATAGCTTCTGTGGTTTTTCAGCTAAGAAGCAGAATCTCATTTCAGTACATTTAGTTTTGTAAGTCATGAAGCCAAATATTTGATGGGCTCTATTAGAGGCACATGTATGTATTCACAGTAGTGCACATTTTGTGCCTTGAATCACTTTGAAAAGTGTCTCAGAAAACCTGAAGAGTCAGTCCTCTTCTATCTTCACAAGACTTTTTATATGTATTTATGAAAGTGATTCTGTACCCTAGTAAATCTTTTTCGGCATGGACTAATTTGTATCTCTTCATAGTCATACTCTGCATGATCTGTATATAGTGCATTGAACTTAGAGGTGTGACCTTAAATTTAACTTTTTTTTAAAAAACCAAGAGGTCGGGCTTCCCTGGTGGCGCAGTGGTTGAGAGTCCGCCTGCCGATGCAGGGGACACGGGTTCGTGCCCCAGTCCGGGAAGATCCCACATGCTGCGGAGTGGTTAGGCCCGTGAGCCATGGCCGCTGAGCCTGCACATCCGGAGCCTGTGCTCTGCAACGGGAGAGGCCACAACAGTGAGAGGCCTGCGTAGATAATGTCTTGAAACAAAGGAAGAAATTTGCAAGAAAGAGGGAGTGGTTAGTAGTATGAGATACAGCGGAGAGAATAAAGAAAGCAGGAAAGGAAATTGTCCATCTTCTTCTTTTTTTTTTTTAATATAATGGCTGTCAAATATAGTTGTGATAGAAAATGTTACTTTGCATGTTTTTTTAAAATTAATTCTTTTTTTTTGGCTTTTTTTTTTAAACATCTTTATTGGAGTATAATTGCTTTCCATTGTTGTGTTAGTTTCTGCTGTATAACAAAGTGAATCAGCTATACATATACATATATCCCCATATCCCCACCCTCTTGCATCTCCCTCCCACCCTCTCTGTCCCACCCCTCTAGGTGGTCACAAAGCATGAGCTGATCTCCCTGTGCTATGTGGCTGCTTCCCAATAGCTATCTATTTTACATAAAATTAATTCTTATCGGAGTATAGTTGCTTTACAATGTTGTGTTAGTTTCTGCTGCACAGCAAAGTGAATCAGTCATACGTATAAATAGATCCACTCTTTTTTAGATTTCCTTCCCATTTAGGTCACCACCGATCATCGAGTAGAGTTCCCTGTGCTACACAGTAGGTTCTTTTTTTTTTTTTTTTTCTGTACGCGGGCCTCTCACTGTTGTGGCCTCTCCCGTTGTGGAGCACAGGCTCCAGACGCGCAGGCTCAGCAACCATGGCTCACAGGCCCAGCCGCTCCGCGGCATGTGGGATCTTCCTGGACCGGGGCACGAACCCGTGTCCCCTGCATCGGCAGGCGGACTCTCAACCACTGCGCCACCAGGGGAGCCCCCACAGTAGGTTCTTGAACAAAGAAAAAAATTCGACACAATACATGAAAGACAGTAACTTCTAATAAGCTTAATGCCATTTACCTATACTTTAACAACTTCATTTTTTGGCTTAAAATATAGCCTTAAGTACAATTGAACAGATTCAATCTCATGTTTGAAAATAAACCGTTGTCTATATTAAGAGTGATGTCATCAAACCTTTCTATGCTTTCATGAGTAACAAACTTTCTTTTCGATGATAAAATGGAGCAAAACAGTAGATATTAAGGAGAAAATAGATTTGCCCCGTCTCCATCCCCTTCCTCCCCACTTCTCTCACTTTCTCTTTCATTGAATGCCAACTCAGTGCCAAGCATTCTCCCTGGGACTTGAGTATTCAGCAGTGAGCAAGACAGGTAAGATTCCTGCATGCACTCTTTTGTTGGGGAAATAGACAATGAAATAGTAAAGTAAATGGGGAAGATAATTTTAGATGGCAGTACATGCTCTGAAGAAAACTAAATGGAGGAGTGAGCTGAAGAGAGGTGTTGGCACCATAGATTAGGTAGTCAGTAAACACTTTTCTGAAGAATCAGTGTGACTACAGACCATAGAGCCAAGAAAGAGCTAGACTCACAAAGATTTGAACAAGAGGGTTTCAGACAGAAGGAGGAGCTGGTGCAGAAGTCCTGAGGCAGAGCCAGGCATGTGCTTTACATAATTGTGAGGCAGAAAGGCTGCCTTGGTAGCTGGAGACTAGTGACAAGTAGGCATGAGTTTCACAGTGTAGGATGGATTTTAAGCTATGCAGGGTTGTTTTCTAAAGTGATGAAGAACGCGAGTGAGTCCAAATTGTGCTGAAAATTGCTACTTTTTGATAAACTCATGCATATGACTTTAAGAAGACAGAAATTAGTTTAGGACCTTCATGAATAGGGGAACTCTAGAAATCTGGATTATAAATCTAGTTTAGCAAGTCATTATTACAACTTCTGGAAAATTCCTCAATAGTGGATTTATAACTGTGATATCTCAGACCTCAGAGATTATGTGAATCATCTGTATCATTGTATGGATAATGGAACTGAGATCCAAAGAGATTATTGATTGGTTCCAAGGTCTCATAGCTCGTAAAGAGCAGGACCAGGATTAGAGGTTATTTTAGTCACTTCAAATATTTGTTCTTCAAGCCTTTGCCCAAGGACTACCTTTACTATGGGCATTTTCCATTCAATAGGTTTCAGTGTATCTTTTCTCCTGGTCCATTCTTTCATTCGTATTGTCATTACTGCATTCATTTTACTATTATGAAATGGTATGTTTTCATGAATGTCTTCTCTGTATTAGATGATAGGCTTCTTTACAGAATTTTGTAACCCTACTACCTTGTGCATAGTAGGCTTCTGATAATGTGCTGTGTGACTGATTAGCTTATTGATAAATGAATGGACACATCTAAGTCTGTCTTTCAGCTCAATGCCTTTTTCTTGTAATACATCCAGTCTATTGACACCTAAATGTCAGCATCTGTGAGGAAGGGCTTACAGTGTTAATGTATAAATGACCACAATGTTTCCCCCCTCTCCCTATATGAAAGGAATAAACAGGGGCTAAAAACACATAGAAAAAATTGATGATCTTGTACAAATCTAAATTTTATTCTGTCTAGGAGAGGAAAGCTAATAAAAATGCCTGACTCAAAGCCTGTTCAATAAGCATTGGTTTGTTGAGTGTTTTAAATGTTTGTATTTCTTTGTACAGGAATAGCTGTCTGAACTCATCCTTTTCACCAGTGTCCTTTTTTAGTTGAGACATCATTTCCATGCTTTAATATGCATCCTTTGTTATGTTAGATATCAGTGATATTAACATGTTATTGATCCAAATGTGCAACTCACTGAAAGTGTTTTAATATTATGCATACTTTTAAAATTGCAAATGGAAAATTCTCTTGTGATAGTTTGTAGGAGGATTTCAGAGAGGGATAATCAGTAATAATATATGTGTGTCTTTAAAACTTAACAGACGTCTCCTTGATCCCTAAGTAAACAACACATGCCCCACATTTCAGAGTCCCTTCGGACTCAGCAGTGCATTTTTCCTTCAGCCTGTCAGAGCCAAGTCACGTGATGCACTGCCTAGTCACTCAGTAATTATGCTAGGAACTGGGTTTTTATCCTAAAACTTGTCACATATTGTTTTGCAGAGCCAGTGATGTGTATTTGTCAGCCCTGTCTCACATTTGTAGCCAGGAGCCTAAGGTCATCATTAGCCCATGACTTTGATTGTCAGGAAATGAAGTACTAGGTGTATGGAAGTTTCTTTCATTGCTTGCATGATTGGGACTTTCTCAATCCTAAAGAAGAAGAAAAATCCATACACAGTTTATTGCCTTCCAAACTGACAGTTCTGTAAGGCTCATTGGATGATTAAGTAATAAGAAGGAGACAAACCAGAGAAAAGTGTAGATTAAAACATATCCTCCAGCTTAAAGACACAATACCCAGTAGTCAGACTCATTGAGTAGCCAGCGAGAATCTTGTGGTGATGTTTGTTTAAAAATAATATATTAAGGGAAAAAAAACAAACCAAACAAAAATATATTCTTTCAAGTTTATGATTAAAAAATAATACAAATTAACCACAAATTTAATGTGTAAATATAAGTGTACATAGATATCTATAAAGTAAATGGTTTATAAGTTAGCTAATAGAGATCATCAGTCAACAAATCAGTTTCTGTTTATACTGACCGTTCTCTAATCAAACTACTAGTTAATAAAAAGGTGAAATCAAAGAGATGTGATTTTTAAATATCATACTTAACTGTAAGGGCAAAAGCATAAAACCTTTGTTCTTTACAGGTTCAGGAAGCACTAAACTCCACTTCTGTGAGTTCCTCAGAAGATTGGTAGCCAACAGTTAAATAATACATATTTCAAAGTTAGATCAGGCATAGAAATATCTGTTTGTTTTCAGATGGATATTAGTTCTTTGACAAATATCACATTCTTCTTCTTTTTTTTTTTTTTTGATGTGAAACATTTTTTAATTTTTTCCATTAAATTAACTCCGTACAGAGACAGCATCAGATGGGTGCCAGGGTCCCTTTTTGCTCTCATCTCATCTCGTCTTCCCTTTTTTTCCCTCTGCCCTATCCCCAGGATCCTCTCCATCCAGTCAGTGCTCTCTGTGGTCAAGTCCATGGAAATTCCTGGCTCTACTACAGTTCTAGGAGGGCAATTGTGAGACCTCTCAAACCTTCATGTTAATTGACTAAGGCCTTTTAGGATCTTTAGAGTGTAGCACCTACAAAATAAACACACAGACACATTTTGAAAACAAGAGTTTTTTCCTGCAAATATTGCTCTCCTCTTATAGTACAACGTGGGTATATTATTTTACTAAAGACCTTCTGCTCACCCTGTGTGAGAAAGCAAAAG